TCGAATTTAGGCCCCTAACATTTTGATAAATGAGAGATAGTGGGCCTGAAGAAACGATTAGTTTTTTGAAGGCGACAAGACTATTGCTTTGGTATTACGGGGACGATCTCGAGGGATAAATTCCTTAATTAAGGATCCTACTGGCCACAATGATTTGTTTAACAACATATCACTGTTTTCAGTCGGAACTAGTATTTTAAAAGAGGAGATTGCCCTAGCTTGAGAAGGAGCCATTTTGAAGATGCTAACACGCTTTAAGTTGACTGATGGGACTTTCGTCGCCAGATAACTTTTTATGTTATCCACCGATGTTTCAGGTGCCAGTCTTGACACAAATATTGCTTTTCTGGGAGGAACTGCCGCCAAGCAAATTTCATTATTTGGAACAGGAGGGGGGTTCACGGTAGGAGAGTTTCGAGTTGGGGAGAATATAGATGAGGTTATCGCCCTCGTACCGGCAGCTTGTGAGACTTGCCCAGTCTGGTGACCAGCATTCACACGCGAACAGCCAGGAGGAGAGAATGATTTATTTTTCTCTTTATTACTTTTAGGCGATGGCGCTTGATTAGAGTGAGTGGCGGTTCTGGGCGGAGATACCCTTGCCACTTCAGCGTAGCTTAAAACCGACGGACTTGCCGGTTTGTTTGTAACTGTTTTGCTACCAACCGACTCAGCAATATCGGAAACATTACTGTTCATTTTAGAGTTAGAGGGAGCGGTAACTTGTACCTACGAATTAGATTTGGAGAAAGCCGGAGGTGGCGTCCCACACGCTACGCTACGAGTAGAAGATGGGTATCCAATGAGGCGACACTCATCAAATCTAGACTTAATGAGCTCAAACTTTTCCCACAAGGAGCCGAGATTTCTACTCAATTCCGAGAAACCATAACGGGTCTCCGTGAAAAGTTTATAAAAGTCAATGTCCCGCTGCCTACAGTCAGGACATGACCATCTTAAGCCTTTAGACGGATCAGCGACTGCGTCAGCAGCACGGCCGAGAATACCGGCACACTTTGCATGACCAAAGCGCTCGCAGAGCCAACAAGAAAGGAACCTATCAGAATCCGGGCCTGATCTCACCCGACAAGGTGTATATAAACACTCCATGTCCAGTCAAAAAGACAGTTGTGGATTATGAAGAACAGACACACAAATCACTAAAAAAAATCCTGAACATAAAAATTTATCAACCAATTTGTGCAAAACTTCTCTATTAGGTTGACACTGTAACGAGAGATTACTAGCAACACAATATCCAAACAGCAAAAAAAATAACAGAGAAAAAGAGAGAAAACAAAAAAAAAAAGAGAGATTTATATTAGAGCTCAAAATTTTTGTTTGCAAAAATCAAATGAATCAAAGCGTAAAGAAAAAATATTTCTTTTACTTTGAATTCACTCACTTTCTTCTCAAAGTATATTAAAAATTCACACACTATAAGGCAGAATAGCCACGAAATTCAACAAAAAATTAGAATATTAATTGCCGAAACAAAATATATACGACTATACCGCGCGACA